GCGAGCGAGCGAGCGAGCGAGCGAGCGAGCGAGCGAGCGAGCGAGCGAGCGAGCGAGCGAGCGAGCGAGCGAGCGAGCGAGCGAGCGAGCGAGCGAGCGAGGCGAGCGAGCGAGCGAGCGAGCGAGCGAGCGAGCGAGCGAGAGAGCAGAGCGAGCGAAGCGAGCGAGCGAGAGAGCGAGCGAGCGAGCGAGCGACCGAGCGAGCGAGCGAGCGAGCGAGCGAGCGAGCGAGCGAGCGGAGCGAGCGAGCGAGCGAGCGAGCGAGCGAGCGAGCGAGCGAGCGAGCGAGCGAGCGAGCGAGCGAGCGAGCGAGCGAGCGAGCGAGCGAGCGAGCGAGGAGCGAGCGAGCGAGCGAGCGAGCGAGCGAGCGAGCGAGCGAGCGAGCGAGCGAGCGAGCGAGCGAGCGAGCGAGCGAGCGAGCGAGCGAGCGAGCGAGCGAGCGAGCGAGCGAGGAGCGAGCGAGCGAGCGAGCGAGAGCGAGCGAGCGAGCGAGGAGCGAGCGAGCGAGCGAGCGAGCGAGCGAGCGAGCGAGCGAGCGAGCGAGCGAGCGAGCGAGCGAGCGAGCGAGCGAGCGAGCGAGCGAGCGAGCGAGCGAGCGAGCGAGCGAGCGAGCGAGCGAGCGAGCGAGCGAGCGAGCGAGCGAGCGAGCGAGCGAGCGAGCGAGCGAGCGAGCGAGCAGCGAGCGAGCGAGCGAGCGAGCGAGCGAGCGAGCGAGCGAGCGAGCGAGCGAGCGAGCGAGCGAGCGAGCGAGCGAGCGAGCGAGCGAGCGAGCGAGCGAGCGAGCGAGCGAGCGATCGAGCGAGCGAGCGAGCGAGGAGCGAGCGAGCGAGCGAGCGAGCGAGCGAGCGACGAGCGAGCGAGCGAGCGAGAGCGAGCGAGCAGGACGCGAGCGAGCAGCGAGCGAGCGAGCGAGCGAGGAGCGAGCGAGCGAGCGAGCGAGCGAGCGAGCGAGCGATCTAGCGTATCGAGCGAGCTGAGCGAGCGAGCGATCTATCTATCTATCTATCTATCTATCTATCTATCTATCTATCATCTATCTATCTATCTATCTCTCTATCTATCTGATCTATTATCTATTATCTATCTATCTATCTATGTCTATTCATCTATTCTATCTATCTAGATATCTATCTATTATCTATCTATCTATCTATCTATCTATCTATCTAGTGATTGATTCATACATCCCTTGTATTCTATCGTGAAAGTAGTCGCCGTTGAAATGTCTCTAAGTAAAAATTATTTGTCACTTTACTGTCTACAAGTAAAACTAGAGTAATTCCGGTAAACAAGTGCCAAGTTATTTGACCATTTGCCTTTGTAGTGCAAGTCGTTCTATTCTTTATTGGGTCTATAAACTTTCGGTCAAGAATCCTAAATGCGACTACAAGCAGTGAAGACTCTTAGTAGCCGTTAAAATCTCCCATTCGGCATAATCCTCTCGAACTGCTGGGTATAATGAAAACATGCTAAAACAAAGACACAATGAAAACAAAATAAACAGCAGCCGCATTAAGAGTAGTAGTAGTAGTCAGTAATTGGACTTGGACTGTAATAGGAAATGTGACCAACATTTAATTAAATCATTATTGTAAACAATATTGAATTTTTCTATAAATTATAATTCAAGGAAAAACCTATTTCTATTTTAAAATTACAAGTGTGGGCTAATTTGCAAAAAAAGTAAGTATTCGAAAGAAGTGAAATTTACTATATCACGATCTGAATATATAGGAACCTATGTATTACAAATAGGTTTCAATTTTTTCAAATTAGTGTTATTATAAATTGAGTAGTGTTTTTCCAAAATTTTGCATATTTTTATTGGTAAAGTTTTTAACATATATCATAGATATCTAAATCGATTAGGCCCGATTCAGAAGTTTAAATTTAAGATTTCGTTTTGCAAAATAGCGAAGGCTATTGACATGATAGTTGAATTTTAAATGCAATGTCTGAAAAGGTTTCATCAGCTCTTATTTTCACGATTTCTTTATTCCACTAAAGACCTACTTGTAATCTCTATTTGTCAGTCCAACTCCATTTCTTTTAAACTTTACTTATGTCTGTATATTACTCATTCCTTTCAATGTAAACAAAAATACATACTTGTTATCTCCACAAATCAACATTAATTCGCTGTGTATTAAATTTCTTGTATCTACACTTGTCTACATAGAAAAAAACATGCATTTTAAACAATGTTGCAAATATTTTTTCTTTTCTATTTTCAAATTCTACATTTGTCTTCTAAATTTCACACATATTTCCAATTATGAACACTCACGTATTTGTTGTCTTTATGGAACTTTTAAATTATTTCCGTTTAGGAAAACAATTTTGTAATAGAAACTTCTCTTTTTTTTAACAAATTTGAACTTTGAATTGGAGACATGAGTAATATTTTTGTTAGTGTTTGGATAAAAAATAACTGATTTTTTAAGCGTGATTGAATTAAGGTGACATATTGGCCATAACAGAGTGTGAAATGTAGTAGGTAAAATATTCAAGAAGTTTGTCGAGAATGGCTTTACATCATAGTGATGATACCTAGATCTCGCCCTTTACAAAATATTTTACTATTTTTGACAATAGGTCTCCTAGAATTCGGCTTTGAAACAAGTACAATTCTGTTCATAGAGATCAAAGTGTCCCTACAGCGGCATCTATTCCTTGTCGGCTTCTTTTCTTTTCTCTTGAAATCCTCAGATGGTGGAGACTGAAAATTTTCTCTTCATGTACCGTATCTCTCAGAAATACTTGTTGTAAGAACATCTTCAGCAAAGTTCAGCTTGAATTGCTTTATTCTAAATATCAAGTTCTTTGATCAAGTCCATAAAACCAATTTCATAACCATAAGATTGTTGACTTTCCTCCTGAAAGCCCCTGATATATATGGCTTAATATAATTACCCCTATCGCCAATAGAAGTAAAATTTTTGTTCCATTGAGATTTTCATTAACCTCGAAAATTGCTATCGTAACCTTGTTGTGAACAATTCATTCACAATAGTTGATTTTGTATGCCAACAGCTGTTTCAATGTTTACAAAATTCCATCAACAAATTTCACAACAGTAGAATTTTTTTTCACGACAAAAAACTTAGTGAACGAAATAAGTCAAAAGGGAAGATATTTCACGTGAAATGTTGATTGGCGATAGGGGTGAATAATAGGTCTTTTTACGATCATGTATTCGGTCCTTTTTTTTAATTTCTTGTGTGATTCTATATATCAAGTGCTTGGATCAGGTCCACATAACTAATTTCATACCCATAAGCTTGATGTCTGTATTCTTGAAATTCCCAAGAAGAATAAAAGATCTTCTATTTGGTCCGGTTTTTTCCTTTCAACAAGGGTCTTTCAAATGGGCGTTTTCAGATACCGTATCTTCCAAGAAAACTTGCTGCGAAATTTATCTTATCTTCACCACAATTCGGATGTGATCATTTATGCATTCGGTGTGTTTTTCATGGTTCAGAATCTGAGGCTTGGAATAGGTCCATCTTCAGAGCTGCTTCAAAATCTTAATTTGCACTCACGATCAACAACAGATTCCGTCCTATTTTCCATTCCAATATGTAGGACAAATCAGTTGAGATTAAAATCTTATAGCTTTGACTTTACTCTTGAAATCCCCAGTTTGTTTAATAGATCTTCTTTTGTAATCAGATTTGTTTCCTATTAACGTGGGTCTATGAAAGGTAGGGTTCTATAACTCGACTTTCGAATAATCGAACAATCGACTTTTTGTCGAAAAAAGTCGAAAAGTCGAAGTCGACTATTTTGTTCCAAAAAAGTCGATAACTCGACTATCGTCTGTGAAAAAAGTCGACTTTGTTAATAAAAGTCGAAAAGTCTGAAAGTCGATAAGTCGAAAAAAGTCGAATAAAGTCGAAAAAAGTCGAAGAAAGTCGAAAAAAGTCGAAAAGTCGTAAAAAGTCTGAAAGTCGAAAAAAGTCGATAAGTCGAAAAAAGTCGGAAAAAGTCGAAAACTCGAAAATTGTAGAAAAAAGTCAAAAATAGTCGGGTATTTTAAAAAAGTGGAAAAAAAGTCAAAAACTCTAAAATAGTCGGAAAAAGTCGAAAAAATTCGAAAGAAGTCGAAAATAGTCAAAAAGTCGAAAAAATCGAAAAGTCGGAAAAAGTCGAAAAAAGTCGAAAAGTCGAAAAATGTCGAAAAGTCGACTATTTATAAAATATTTATAGTCTAAAAGTCTACTTTTAATTAAATGCAAAAAGTCGAATAGTCGTCTTTTAACTAAATGAAAAAAGTCGAAAAGTCGACTTTTCGTTTCAACTATAGAACCCTAATGAATGGGACATCAATTGAGACTAAAAGGGCGTTTTTAGACACTAAGATTTGTTAAACGATTTGGGAATCCATTAATAGGTTGTATACTCATACTATATTGGAAATATCTTTATTAATATACGACCGAATACGATTTTAACGACCTTGATTATTCAGATTTTAGACTAATAGAGTCATTATCTGTTTGGGAAAAGATTCCCTTAACAATATTGACGAATCGAAGCGTATAAAGATAAACAATACGATCCCCAGCTACTTAGTTGTCAACTGCAATTGAAAGTTTATTTAAACAATTAGTGCAACTACAAGGTACGGCTGACGTTGTCATTTTAATTGTCACAGTAATTGTGTGGCATGTAGTAACAAATAATAACGCTTATACACGCAAATTAACATTAAATCAATTCAATTGTCAACAATGACAGATGGAACAATTGACAATACTACATAATAACTGAAGGGAGAAAGGTAAGGAAAAAAGGGGGGAAAATAAAAATACATGACAACTCTGTAATAAATGTATAGGTTTTATCATTTAATTTAATAATTAAATAAAAAATAATAATTAATAAAAATTTAACTAAGTGCAAATTAGACAATAATTAATTAATTAATTTAAAACAATAATTAACTAATTAATTAATTTAAAACAATAATTAACTAATTAATTTTAAACTCTTTACAGCCTCGACAATTGTTGAATTGGCGGTAAAACGTAGTCAAAAATTGGCAAGACCCACTTCGGTGGGTATAGTACCCTCAACACCGGTACTCTCGGGCAGAGATCGTACGGCCTCAATAACTGGACCCCAGCCTGTGGATGTGAGTTGTTAAATTTTTATTAAAATTTCTATTTATTTAATTTTAATTTCTTATTTACCTCTTATAGAGCATTAAACGTCGTGAAATGGAAACTTATAAGATTCAGACACTCCAAAAAATGCTCGAACAGGAAAAACTAAATTTGGAACGTTTAAAGGGTGATACGAATAATCCTAGTTATAAGTTATCTGAGGCCAATATTAAGAAATTACGTGAACAATTGCGCCAAGTGGGTGCTGAGGTAAGATTTATTTTATTTTTATTAAAAAAATTGTGTTTTTCCTTGTCCCTTTGTTTCGTGTTTTATTCCCTTAACGTTTTTATAATTCCCCTTTTTTTAAACAAAAATCTTGTTGTTTAATTAATTTTTGTTATAACTTTTATTAAAATTTTATTAAATGTTTCAAGTTTTACATTTAGTGTAATTGGCTAGTATTCCTTTTTAAATATTGGTTTTTCATTTATTCCTTTGTTCCCTATTAAAATGGCTTTAAAGCTCTTCTTCTGCCTTGCTTCTTGTAAAGTTTTTTTAGGTTCTTTTGAAGTTAATTTAATAGTTTGCTAATTTCTTAGTTCAAAAGTTTAGAATTTAAAGGTTAATCACTCTCGAGAAGGTAATCCTCTTTCGTTTATAGAATACTTGCTGAAAAGGATTGATTTGCACTTACGTTTAGCTATTAATTCGGTCCTATTTTCTATATCTTAATATCCCTATAGACCAGATTGTTGTTTCTCAGAAACAATTGATGAGAGAACCAGCTGATCTTCAACAGAATTTGGAAGTGATCAGTCATATATTTGGCCTGTTGGATGTGATTTAAATTACCAGCAGCATGGTCCATAATAGTCTGTACCTACTCGCGATCAAAGATCGCTTTTTCTTTTCCCTAAACATTTAAATATGAAGGGGAAAGATTGCCTTTCAGACACTATATCTCCCATGAATACTTGCTGCTCCAATGATCTTAATTTGTATCGAATCTTGGCAAACTATAGTCGAATATTGCTCGTCTACTCTCCTGCTTACACACAACAAAATCTTTGAAGATCCGCTATAAGGAGCAATTGGATCAATTTACAATGTCCAGAGGACATTAGACTTAATAGGCTTCTTCCTTTAAATATTTTATATGAAACGATCTAACACATTCTTTGTCTGTCTCCTGCTTTATCTGTGTTCTGCCTTATCTGTGTATTGCCTTATATATGCACTGTATTATCTGTGCCCTGCCTTATCTGTGTCGTTTTGGCGGATATTTACAGACTCAGCAACATCGTAGTTCGGCCCAACAACTGTTCCATTTGCTTCAAAAGCAATTACAACAGCAGCAGCAACAGGGCAAGGCTACACTCAAGTCTTGGAAGGAAACGATCGAACACTTTCTCTGTCTGTCTCCTGCTTTATATGTGTTCTGCGCCTTATCTATGTCCTGCCTTATCTATGCACTGTATTATCTTTGTCCTGTCTTATCTGTATCTTTTTGGCGGATCTTTATAATGTCGTTATTTAATAGATTGATTGGTTCAATTAATATATAGACAAAGTTACAGGTTTGGGTAAGACAGTGTGACTAAACAAGGACCCAATTATGTCGGCTTCCTTAGCTTATAATCTAACTTATCCCGTTATTATTGATCCAGTTTGTTTTTAAAACAATAGGAACAAATATCTTCTTCGTCTTTTAATAGATTCTGTCTGGTCTTTATCAGCTGAGGAGTCTCCAATTGTATGACGACGTAGTTATGATGATATTTTGAAGAACATCTGCTTCTTTTTAAACTCTACTGAACGGTCGATATTCGAAAGATTGATTGGTTAATTGTCTAGAGATATCGGTTTTTGACAACACAATGTGACCAATCCAGGCTGCTTTCTTAAGCCGTCTGTCTCTAATCTTATTTAACCCATTTATCCCGATCCTGATTTACGTTGTCCCTTCTATCCAGTAAAATCTCTTTAATCTTCCGTTGTTATTGAAACAAAAGGAACAAATTGGTTCTTCGACTTTTAGTAGACCCTTTCTGGACTATAATGCATGATGACACCTCAGATGTTTGGAAGAACATCTGCTTCTTTATAAACTCCACAAGAAGGTCGACATTTGAAAGATTGATTGCTTCAACCAATATGGACAGAAAGTCGTCTAGAGTGATCAGTTTTAGGTAACACAGTGTGACTAATCAAGGACACAATCGAATTTATCCCCTTCATCCAGATCTTGATTTATGTTGTCCTTCTATTCATTAACATTGCTTTTATCTCCCGTTGTTATTGAAACAGAAGGAACAAATTGGTTCTTCGTCTTTCATTAGATCCTGTCTGGCCTTTATCAGCTGAAGAGTCTCCAATTGTATGATGACGTAGTGTGGATGACACCTCAGATGTTGGCATGAACATTTCTTCGTCTCTTATTAGATCCTAATATAGCTGAGGAGACTCAAATTCATCAGATGTTTGAAGAATCATATGTTTCTTCATAAACTCCAGTTTCTAAGTATTTTAGTTCATTTTGATGAGCTAAAGAGTCTCCAATTGTATGATGACGTAGTGCGGATGACACCTCAGATGTTTGCAAGAACATTTCTTCGTCTCTTATTAGATCCTAATATAGCTGAGGAGACTCCAATTCATCAGATGTTTGAATTATCATATGTTTCTTCATAAACTCCAGTTTCTAAGTATTTTAGTTCATTTTGATGATCTGAAGAGTCTCCAAGTGTATGATGACGTAGTGTGGATGACACCTCAGATGTTTGCAAGAACATTTCTTCGTCACTTATTAGATCCTAATATAGCTGTCAATTCATCAGATGTTTGGAGGATCATCTGTTTCTTCATAAGCTCCAGTTGCTAAGTATTTTAGTTCATTTTGATGATCTCTGACTATAGTTGGAGTAAGAATTTTTTCCACTTTAACAGTCTAATGTCGCAAAGGATTTAAATACCATGAAATCGAAGGTCTGATTGTCTTATTCAGATCTATCAAAACTTTCTGTAGTCATATTGTTTCTTAGTAACTTTTAGCCTAGAGTGCTGGTTCTTCAGGAAACTTATAATTTATATGTATATAACAAATCTCCTGAAAATAATCCCATTTATATATAATTGTTATTAAAATTTCCTTAATTAGTTAGCTCGTTAGTTTAGGGAACAGTTATCTTTAAATAATTTTTATTTTCAGTAGAGATTTGGTCCCCCTTTTAATATAGCAAAAGGTCAAAAGTTGACAGCTCGTAATTAACTAGTTTTTTTCAACTTGATAATGTCAATTATGATCGCAATAATAAAGCAAACATTTGACAACTTTATGTCAAGTTGGGAAAAAGTGAACAAATACGAGGTGTTAATATGTATGTAATAGTTATTTTCGGAATGTTTTTATTTAAGAAAACTCCCTTTTACACTTTGTTTTATACACACACTTTATAAAAAATTTTATAATTAAGTTTGTTAGAAAGAATGTTTTTAAGAGGATCGTTTAAATAATCATAATATAACAGACGCTAAAGCAAATGGCCGCGCTCATGCTCATTTAACAAAATTATTAAAAAAAACAAACAGCAAAACAAAATTTTAACATTTTCCAACAAAAAAATAACACAAAACAATTTTTAACCAAATTAAACACAAACAACAAAATTGAAAAATTTTGCAAAAGCAAAACAAATCAATACACAATTTACCTTTAATCACTCTACCTCTCAAACTTTGTAAATTGTTTTTTTTGTTTATAAACAAACTTTCCTTTCCTCCCAAAAGAGAATAAACTCTATCACCCATCAAACCAAAACCCAAACAAGCGAAACCAAACCAAAAAAAAAACTCTTGCATTATTTTCTTAATTTTCCACCAACAGGATGCACCGCCGCCAGTTAAAGCAACGGCAAATAATAATAAAAATCAAACATCTTCATCTTCATCACAAAATACTACTTCCACACATCTCAATCACCAACTCCACTCTTCCTCACACAACCAACAACAACAACACAGTCACCAACTCCACAGTCAAGCCACCACACCACAGCCACAACCATCATCACCAGCATTTCTATCACTTTTACCGCGTTCGCTATCGTCTCTATCGTTGGGTGGTCGTAGAAATAAAATCGAAAAAGATCTTATAACAGCTCCTTTGAATAATACAACGGATTTCTTGCATACTTCTTCGACGACGGGTCATATGATGACAACAACTTCACCCACTCCCTCGTACAATATGTCACAATCTCTACATACTCCTTTACAGACCCAGCAGCATCGTAATTCGGCCCAACAGCTGTTTCATTTGCATCAACAGCAATTGCAACAGTTGCAACAACAGCAGCAACAACAAGGCAAGGGTACACCCAAGACTTCAAAGAGTAAAAATAAATTTGCTGCCCAATCGAAGAGTTTAATAGAAGAAGACATTCCACCGCCTTTACCGCAACGCAATATACCCCGACAGCTGCAATTGGAAGGTGGTAACAACAGCAACAACAATGGTAATATACAAACTCCTCCTCATACCTTCTCACCCATATCGGATTTGGATCATACAGCTAATGCCGTGATAGTAGCCGGAGGAGCAGCTTCACCTTTACGCAATTCTCCACAACCAGCTTCGGCTTCTGGCACCAATTCTCCCCAAAATGTGGTGGTACAGAATTGTCAGAAATCTAAACGTTCCAAAACGAAAACAAAAGCTCTTTCCGATCCTAAAATGTCTACACAAATGTTTTTACAAATGGAAGGTGCTCCCGGGCACTTTGTCAATCAAATGGGTGATGGCTCGGAATTAGAAGAAATACCGCCACCTCTACCACCCCGCCAACCAGGCATGTTAGAAGAATCTCAATTGGCTGGTCACCGTGGCAGTATACAGAATTTGAACACTAATGTAAGGCCACCACCGAATAGTATAGATACTCTTATGCAATATCCTCTAGTATCCACCTGTACTCCTGTGCATCGTGATAATATGGCTGCTGCTTTTCCACTCTCTCAACGTCCCAATATTGTACAGCAATTGCAGCAGCATCAACAGCAACAACAGCAGCAGCAACAACAACAATTGCATGGTGGTGTTGCTGGTGGTAGTGGTGGCCTGGGTGTTACTAATGCGGGTGTAAGTATAATCAATCAATCAGTCTCTTGTTGTAGGGGTTTTTAACTGTTTTCTTGGGTTGTAATTATTTTATTTTTTGAAATTACACTATTGTTGGTGAAAGTTTTTTTTACCGGTTAAAACTTCAAACTTAACCCTCCTTGTTGTAGCTTTTTTTGTTGTTTTATTATTTTTTTCATTAACCAAAGTATTTTTTTCCTTCCTCTTTGGGAAAGTTGATTTTTTTAGTGGATGTTTTAAAATCCAAAATGGCAGAAATCATTTTAACATTTAAATTTAATCATTGTAAATAGTTTTTGTTACTAACATTTATTTAACACGAAAATTTACTAAATTTAAACAAAATTATTGTATTTTGAATAAAAAAGAAATTCACCACTAACAAAAATAACACTTTTTTAACATTTATTTACAATTTTTTTTATAAATATTATTATTTTATAACAAATTATCAATATTTTTTTAAATTAATTTTTATCATTTTTGTATTTTTGGCGAATAAGTTGCAAATTCACCACAATATTAAATAACTCAACACACTATGAATAATACTACTGTAATTTTTTTTAAAAGAATATTAGAAAGCAGAGATGGAAAATGCCAAACGACTATATAGAGTACTTGTTTTTGGGACGAATTACGTGATAGCATAAGCTTTCGAAACACACATTACGATAGCGAAAATGTACCAGAATTCTCAAAAATTGCGATAATTTTAACTCTGACTAATAGACTAATCAGTATACTAATCCATAAAATTGTCAATTGACAATTAAGTCATTAGACTAATCAATAACCTGAACCGTAAGAAAACCAGGTTATAGACCAGTTAATCATATAGACAATTGACTAACCAATAGATTAGTCAACAGATAACTCAATGGACTAGTGAATAGATTGCCAATAAACTAGACTATAGACTAGTCAATATACTGTTGCATAGCCTCGTCGTTAAACTAGTTAATAATCTAGTTAATAGATTAGTCAAAGCACTTAGTAATAGACAAGTCTAGTCAGCAGAACAGTCAGTGGAATAGTCCCTTGGCTCTTTAATGGACTAGTAATAGGTTGGCAATAGACTTTTTTTAGACTAGTCTAAAGATATGCCAAAAGACTGAGCTAGTTTATCACTTAGTCAATAGAGCAGTCAATGGACTAGTAATTATACTAATCAACAAACCAGTCAATGGACTATCAAAATATTAGTCAAATAACCAGTTAATAGACTAATCAATCTTCTACTCTATAAGCTCGTCAAAATACTACCCAATAGACCAGTCAATGGACTAGACATTAGAATTGTTGGTGAAAGTTTTTTTTACCGGTTAAAACTTCAAACTTAACCCTCCTTGTTGTAGCTTTTTTTGTTGTTTTATTATTTTTTTCATTAACCAAAGTATTTTTTTCCTTCCTCTTTGGGAAAGTTGATTTTTTTAGTGGATGTTTTAAAATCCAAAATGGCAGAAATCATTTTAACATTTAAATTTAATCATTGTAAATAGTTTTTGTTACTAACATTTATTTAACACGAAAATTTACTAAATTTAAACAAAATTATTGTATTTTGAATAAAAAAGAAATTCACCACTAACAAAAATAACACTTTTTTAACATTTATTTACAATTTTTTTTATAAATATTATTATTTTATAACAAATTATCAATATTTTTTAAATTAATTTTTATCATTTTTGTATTTTTGGCGAATAAGTTGCAAATTCACCACAATATTAAATAACTCAACACACTATGAATAATACTACTGTAATTTTTTTTAAAAGAATATTAGAAAGCAGAGATGGAAAATGCCAAACGACTATATAGAGTACTTGTTTTTGGGACGAATTACGTGATAGCATAAGCTTTCGAAACACACATTACGATAGCGAAAATGTACCAGAATTCTCAAAAATTGCGATAATTTTAACTCTGACTAATAGACTAATCAGTATACTAATCCATAAAATTGTCAATTGACAATTAAGTCATTAGACTAATCAATAACCTGAACCGTAAGAAACCAGGTTATAGACCAGTTAATCATATAGACAATTGACTAACCAATAGATTAGTCAACAGATAACTCAATGGACTAGTGAATAGATTGCCAATAAACTAGACTATAGACTAGTCAATATACTGTTGCATAGCCTCGTCGTTAAACTAGTTAATAATCTAGTTAATAGATTAGTCAAAGCACTTAGTAATAGACAAGTCTAGTCAGCAGAACAGTCAGTGGAATAGTCCCTTGGCTCTTTAATGGACTAGTAATAGGTTGGCAATAGACTTTTTTTAGACTAGTCTAAAGATATGCCAAAAGACTGAGCTAGTTTATCACTTAGTCAATAGAGCAGTCAATGGACTAGTAATTATACTAATCAACAAACCAGTCAATGGACTATCAAAATATTAGTCAAATAACCAGTTAATAGACTAATCAATCTTCTACTCTATAAGCTCGTCAAAATACTACCCAATAGACCAGTCAATGGACTAGACATTAGAATTGGCAATAGACCAATCAATCGCCTAGTCAATGCAGACTAGACAACAGACCAGTCAATAGACTATTCAATTCACTAATCAGTAGACTATTCAATAGACTCATCAAAAGGCTAGTCAACAGACTAGTCAAAAGTCCAGTCAAAAGACTTGACAATACGCTAGTCAAAAGAATTACTAATTAAAAGTCTAGTCAATAGACTAATCAAAATATTGGTCAATAGAATAGTCAATAAGACTAGTCAGTAGAAATCATTCAGTAGGTTATTCAGTAGGTTATTCAGTAGACTAGTCAAAAGACAAGTCAATAGACTATTTTAGTTAGTTATAAGACTAGTCAGGAAACTAGTCATTGGAGTAGTTAATAGATTAGTCTATAGACTAGTTAATAGACTAATCAAAAGACTAGTCAATAGACAAATCAAAAGACTAGTCAATAGACTAATCAAAAGACTAGTCATTAGGCTAGTTAATAGAATATTCAGTAGGCTAGTCAATAGACTAATCAAAAGACTAGTCATTAGACTAGTCAGTAGACTATTCATTAGCCTAGTCAGTAGTTTTGTGATTAGACTTGTCAGAAGCCTAGCTATACTAGTCAGTAGATTTGTCAGAAGACTAGTTATACTAGTCAGTAGACTAGTCACTAGTCAAGTCATTAGTCAATAGTCCACTCAATATATGGAGTAGTCAATAAACTAGTTAAAATCTGGTTAAAAGACTAGTCAATAGACTGACAAGATATATAGAACCAACGGCCATATTTGGCATTTTCAACAGTTCTACTTCCAAACGCTGACTTGCATTCTCTTTAAGATCAAGTCAAGAAGTTGTTATGTTTGCCAGGAATCCAATGCAATCAATATTTACATGTGATCATTTTTGTACAATATCTGATGGAGATTCCTATCATTTGGGAGGGCAGGCTTAACTTGCTGTTAGATTAAACTCGACACGAAATTTAAGTGGACTTTAACCGACGAATGTAATGAATTTAAGAGTAAATAATTTTGTTAGTATTGCCAACTTTTCAGTCAAAAACATAAACAATAAAACAGCTGTTTTTGCAAATATTAGATACTTTTGTAAATGAACAATTTTTGCAAAAAATTGATTGCTGATTGTGTTTTGACACTTATAACTTGGATTTAATTGGCCAAATGTACATACAAATTCTAGTTAATCAACTAGTCAATGGGCTAGTCAATCGTCTATTTAATAGGCTAATCAACAGACTAGTCAAATGGCTAGTCAATAGAGTGGTCAATAAACTAAAAGACTAGTCAATTTACAAGTCATTATACTAGTCAATAACATTGTCGATATGCTTGTCAATTGAACATTCAATGGACTAATGAATAGATTTTCAATGAACCACTGCTTTCGAAATTTTAATGTAAAGATCTCGCGATTTTGGATCCTTCCTTACGGTCTCAAAAAATTTTCAAATCAAATCGTTGACTATAGACAAATATTTTAAATGTAAATTGGAATTCTATTACAAAATTTTAGAATTGATTTAACCATTATTCTGAATCATTACATATTACATATTTTCATTCATGTATTTTTTTAATAATCAATTTACCATCAAGACATCATGTCATCATTTAGCATTTTCGAAAATCATATTAAGAAATAATTGACTTCTTTGTATTGCTCAAAAACTGATTGGCAACTCTCACGTTCAAAAGATCTATATAAATGTTTTAAAAACACTTTTAAAATAAAACTTATAATTTGCTAAATAATTTTTATATTCTAAGTATTTCTTTTATATTTCACCTACTAATTGCTTAATGCTTTTATTACTAACCCACCTCTCTATTTAATATTCACCACTTTAAGAAAAAGATTTATATTAAAATTTTCAGTTGATCCCCAAACTATTCTTTAATGGTATCACTAGAAAAGCTTTGTATTATATATAAATTACCTAAGAAACTCCTGCTGAAACTCTTCCTGTTGCAATTAGTTTATATAGATGTGTATATATACGATTAGTTTATCACCACGGCTGTATTTAATAGAAATTTTCTAGAATTAAGCACCTAAAACTATATGTAAATATTCCCTGTAGACCCTTTAAAATTTTGACTATTTTTCTTAGTTTTAGTTTTTGTAAATATGGAAATTGTTTAAAATAAATTGGAATTTAAACTTAAAAGTTCAATTTGCATGTTTTAGTTAAAATTTATGTATGTTTGCATGTTTTAAAGAAATTATTTCTTAAAATTGTGGAAAACTTTTCAATAGAAATCATATTAATATTATTTTGCTTGTAAACTATTTTAGGTTTTGGGACAAACACCACACAATCTGAATCATATGAGTAAACACAGACGTGTGGTATCTTCACCCGATAATATGCATACTAGACATCCGGGTAAGTGAAATTGAAAGTCAAATCAAAAAGCACAACTTTTTAACTCTTAATTTCTTTTATTTTAGAACGCCAAATAAAAACGAACTCTGGTTCTTGGGAACTAATCGAAAAAGACGACGAGGAAACACCACCGGGCACACCTCCACCACCCTATCGACATGCCCACTCTGCCAGCATGTCCGGCACTGAGGATAGTATGCATGAACATGGAGCAGCATCGACAAGTGGCATTTTTGTGGAATCACATCATTTTACACCCTTGGCGGGAGCCATCTCACCACCGCCCACCTCACATTCCAGTCGCATACAGGCGGCTCAAACAAGTGTCACTCAAAAAGAAATCATTTCTATGGAAGATGAAGATGCCTCCGATCAAGAGGGTCCTTTCATTGATGAAAATGGTCCCTTTAATTCCTTACAAAGATTGCTGGAAGCAGAGAATGTAGCATTTTTGGCAGTATTTTTAAATTATGTACTTTCGAATTCCGAACCTGCTCCTCTACTGTTTTATCTTATAACGGCTCTCTATAAAGAGGGTACCTCCAAAGATATGCGTAAATGGGTTTATGAAATACACTCTACTTTCCTAGTGCCTCGTGCCCCTCTAGCCTGGTATAGACAAGATGAGTCGTTGGCCCGTGAGGTGGATGCTGTGCTACAAAATGAATTTGATAAAGTGGAAATATTGCGTAAAGTATTTTGGAAAAGTCGCAAAAAGGCCCGTGATATTATATGTGAACAACTAAGAGAATTTCAACAGAAAAGAACCGCTGGTTTGGGTACCATCTATGGTCCCACCGATGCTCAGCTAATGGAAGCCAAGGGTGATAAACAAAAGGAACAGCATATATTTGAGGAAACTCTTATGAAGAAATTACAATATTTAATGTTAGTAGCAAATACTTTTTACTTTAAAAGAATTTTTATCATTTTAATTTGATTTTCTTTTTTCTTCAGAGACGAATATGAAAAAGATTTACCGGCTGAGGATCCCAAGAAATTGGCTTTATGTTCGGCTTTGTCAACTGTCATACATCGTACGTTTATAACACGTTCCCATCCGAATAGTATTATCGATCGTGTTCATCATTTTGTTAGTCGTGAAAAAAGTTTCAAATCACGTTTAATGGGCAAAAAGGGAAAGGTTAGTATTTACTAAAGGAAATAAAGTAAATATTTGTAATATTAAGTTCTGTTCTTGTTCATTTCTAGTTCAGTTCTAGTTCAGTTCTAGTTCAGTTCTAGTTCAGTTCTAGTTCAGTTCTAGTTCAGTTCTAGTTCAGTTCTAGTTCAGTTCTAGTTCAGTTCTAGTTCAGTTCTAGTTCAGTTCTAGTTCAGTTCTAGTTCAGTTCTAGTTCAGTTCTAGTTCAGTTCTAGTTCAGTTCTAGTTCTAGTTCAGTTCTAGTTCAGTTCTAGTTCAGTTCTAGTTCAGTTCTAGTTCTGTTCTAGTTCAGTTCTAGTTCAGTTCTAGTTCAGTTCTAGTTCAGTTCTAGTTCAGTTCTAGTTCAGTTCTAGTTCAGTTCTAGTTCAGTTCTAGTTCAGTTCTAGTTCAGTTCTAGTTCAGTTCTAGTTCAGTTCTAGTTCAGTTCTAGTTCAGTTCTAGTTCAGTTCTAGTTCAGTTCTAGTTCAGTTCTAGTTCAGTTCTAGTTCAGTTCTAGTTCAGTTCTAGTTCAGTTCTAGTTCAGTTCTAGTTCAGTTCTAGTTCAGTTCTAGTTCAGTTCTAGTTCAGTTCTAGTTCAGTTCTAGTTCAGTTCTAGTTCAGTTCTAGTTCAGTTCTAGTTCAGTTCTAGTTCAGTTCTAGTTCAGTTCTAGTTCAGTTCTAGTTCTGTTCTAGTTCAGTTCTAGTTCAGTTCTAGTTCAGTTCTAGTTCAGTTCTAGTTCAGTTCTAGTTCAGTTCTAGTTCAGTTCTAGTTCAGTTCTAGTTCAGTTCTAGTTCAGTTCTAGTTCAGTTCTAGTTCAGTTCTAGTTCAGTTCTAGTTCAGTTCTAGTTCAGTTCTAGTTCAGTTCTAGTTCAGTTCTAGTTCAGTTCTAGTTCAGTTCTAGTTCAGTTCTAGTTCAGTTCTAGTTCAGTTCTAGTTCAGTTCTAGTTCAGTTCTAGTTCAGTTCTAGTTCAGTTCTAGTTCAGTTCTAGTTCAGTTCTAGTTCAGTTCTAGTTCAGTTCTAGTTCAGTTCTAGTTCAGTTCTAGTTCAGTTCTAGTTCAGTTCTAGTTCAGTTCTAGTTCAGTTCTAGTTCAGTTCTAGTTCAGTTCTAGTTCAGTTCTAGTTCAGTTCTAGTTCAGTTCTAGTTCAGTTCTAGTTCAGTTCTAGTTCAGTTCTAGTTCAGTTCTAGTTCAGTTCTAGTTCAGTTCTAGTTCAGTTCTAGTTCAGTTCTAGTTCAGTTCTAGTTCAGTTCTAGTTCAGTTCTAGTTCAGTTCTAGTTCAGTTCTAGTTCAGTTCTAGTTCAGTTCTAGTTCAGTTCTAGTTCAGTTCTAGTTCAGTTCTAGTTCAGTTCTAGTTCAGTTCTAGTTCAGTTCTAGTTCAGTTCCAGTTCAGTTCTAGTTCTAGTTCAGTTCTAGTTCAGTTCTAGTTCAGTTCTAGTTCAGTTCTAGTTCAGCTCTAGTTCAGTTCTAGTTCAGTTCTAGTTCAGTTCAGTTCTAGTTCAGTTTCTAGTTCTAGTTCAGTTCAGTTCTAGTTCAGTTCTAGTTCAGTTCAGTTCTAGTTCAGTTCTAGTTCCGTTCTGGTTCAGTTCTAGTTCAGTTCTAGTTCAGTTCTAGTTCAAATTTAGTTCAAATTCAGATCTAGTTCATTTCTAGTTCTTCAACTAATCTGAAATTTATGTAACCAATAAATTACATTAAAATTTAATTAATTAAAATTTAATGATTAAATATATGTCTAATTTTCATTAATTGTTTTCCCTTTTTTTCTAGATGATTGTACGTGGTCATCCATTAGTATTGCAACAATACTATGAAGTGACCCACTGTAATCATTGTCAAACAATAATATGGGGTGTCAGTCCTCAAGGTTTTCATTGTACAGGTAAGTTTTTCTTAAATTTAAACAAAGTAAAAATATACTAATTTCTTTTGCTTAATATAACAGACTGTAAATTAAATATTCACCGTCCCTGTTCGAAAATATTAGAAGAAAATTGTCCAGGCCCATTACCGCAAGCCAAACGTAAAGATAAAGATTTACATAATGATAATAAAATCAGTAAATTAATTATGGGTAAAATACGTCCCAAGACATCGTCAGACATGAGTGGTGGTGAGTAATTGTTGTGTTTTTTAATTTGTTTAAATTATTGAATGTTTGTTTTTTAATTAATTGTTTTAGATAAACGTCAACGTCAAGATCCGGAGGATTTTGATCCTATGGATTTTCCCATTGGTAAGTGAGAATTTTATGTTTTTATATATAGTTTTTATAAGAAATTTTTTAAAAAAATTGTGGTTTGTTGAATAAGTAGTTAAAGTTTAAAAACAATTTTATATTTTTTGCTTAGTTGTTGTTTAAGTACAAGACTTGTTGACAATACTTTTGAAGTCTTGCGAACCTTTAAATTTAATTTTTGAAATTAAGAACATTTTATTATCCTTTTAAAACCAAACGTTTGGTAAACATCGTAAAACCATTTTTACTGCCACTCGTGTTGCAAAATGACAAAAAAATCCTCCTCTAAAAGCTTAACTAAAGAAAAAACCCTTAAACTATTCGATATAAAGCAAAACATAAAATCAAACAAAACTACAAGAACAACATAACGCCACCAGAATTTCATCATCAGCAAAGAAAACTTTAACGTTGTGTCTCCGTTTTAAAATTGAGGGTCATTGTCTTCGTAAAGTGGAAAACGTTTTTTGTTGTTTTCTTCTTTAAGCAGAAATTGCATTGAATACTGCATTGTATAAAAAAAATCCCAAACTCAAGAGAATTTCTATATTTATTTTATAAAGTTTGCTGGATTAGAATTTCTACCAACATGTATAACTATAGAGATAAAATTTTACGCACTTCCACTAAATTCGCACAAGGAAGAGTATAATACGTATCTATATAAAAGAAACAAGGATAATGCAAGTAATTTAAGAGTATGTACAAAGATGTTTCGAAAAAAGTATCTCTAGAGTTTTAACAACCTCCCATTCCACCAAATAGGGTTGAATTGCAATAACATAAACCTAAACCCAAAACAAAAAGAACAACTCGTTATGAAACAGCTACAAATTTAAACTGACAAAGAAATGAAATTTTTGCACACAAAATAAATACAATTTATGGACTCAAATCCTTGGAGAGAGATACCAAAACGTAACATTAAAATGTGAATGTATTGTGCTTTTGGGGTTTTTTTCAACTTCCATCTACTAACCCTTAAAGATTTGTTAAATTTTATAGAATTTCAAAAGGAAAAAACAAAAAAAATTTATGTTTGTGGCAGTTACCTGTGATCAACTAGTTTGCTAAATGAGTTCAAAAGTTGGAATTCATTAAAAATTATTAAAAACTACGAGGAATATCTTCAGCTAAAACAAATTTTCTTTGGAAAAAGTGAGAAAGAGAACATACCTTTGAAGTTTGTTTCGGATCCTATTATATACTTTATATTCTGAATCCTATCGATTACACGATGTCCATCAGTCTAAGAAAAACCTATTCTCAAAACAGTTTTCTATAGAATAGAGACTTATTGAAGACAATTTTCTTTAAAGAACGTACTTTTCTAAGACATTTTTCTTTTAGAACCTTTAATAACATAATTTCCTAATCGATCTGTTATTCTATATGTTATTTGGCAAAGAATATTTGCCTAAAAATAAGTATCCTTTTTTTTGCTGTAATCTCCAGCATGTTATTTGTATAAAACCTGCAAACAAAACGTTCTTCAATTAAATGCCTCAAGTTACCACTGATAAGAAGTGTTATACTTCACACGTAAATATATTTTTGTGGCAAGAATAATACAAAATAAATAATAATTTCATTTCTTCATACGTATGTCAATAACAGCTACAAACAACAGGCAGGCAGGGAGGCGGGCGAGCGGAAACATTTACAGATTAAATGGTCAATTAGTTTTAAATGCCCAAAAGAAAGAAAACAAAAACAAGAAAAAACTTCTATTTAACTTCAATACTTCAGAAAAGAAAAATAAAAGAAAAGGCCGAAGAAAAATAGTCTAACTAAACACTTTCTTCATGGACTATATTAAGAAAATGTCAGAAATATTAAGGCAACCTGTAAAATGTGTTAGATTTTAAAAGAGTAAACAAATTGAAAGAAATCATAATATTTAAAATCTAAATATTTAAATAGTTTTTAATATTAATTAAATCTAGAACTAACATAAAGCTGCCAAAACATGGCGTTAAAGGCGTCTTAAACCATATCAACTTAAATAATATTCCAAGGAAAATAAATACACCTAAACGCTAAACCGCGCACAATTTACCACGTTTAATCTAGACTATATACTAGGACTATAGACTAGACTATATATTAGACTGTATATTAGGACTATAGACTATATATTACACTATATATTAGACTATATATTAGACTATAGACTAGACTATAGACTAGACTATAGACTAGACTATAGACTAGACTATAGACTAGACTATAGACTAGACTATAGACTAGACTATAGACTAGACTATAGACTAGACTATAGACTAGACTATAGACTAGACTATAGACTAGACTATAGACTAGACTATAGACTAGACTATAGACTAGACTATAGACTAGACTATAGACTAGACTATAGACTAGACTATAGACTAGATTATAGACTAGACTATAGACTAGACTATAGACTAGACTATAGACTAGACTATAGACTAGACTATAGACTAGACTATAGACTAGACTATAGACTAGACTATAGACTAGACTATAGACTAGACTATAGACTAGACTATAGACTAGACTATAGACTAGGCTATAGACTAGACTATAGACTAGACTATAGACTAGACTATAGACTAGACTATAGACTAGACTATAGACTAGACTATAGACTAGACTATAGACTAGACTATAGACTAGACTATAGACTAGACTATAGACTAGACTATAGACTAGACTATAGACTAGACTATAGACTAGACTATAGACTAGACTATAGACTAGACTATAGACTAGACTATAGACTAGGCTATAGACTAGGCTATAGACTAGACTATAGACTAGACTATAGACTGGACTATAGACTAGACTATAGACTAGACTATAGACCAGGCTATAGACTAGGCTATAGACTAGACTAGACTATAGACTAGACTATAGACTAGACTATAGACTAGACTATAGACTAGACTATAGACTAGACTATAGACTAGACTATAGACTAGACTATAGACTAGACTATACTATACTAGACTATAGACTAGACTATAGACTAGACTATAGACTAGACTATAGACTAGACTATAGACTAGACTATGACTGACTATAGACTAGACTATAGACTAGACTATAGACTAGAGACTAGACTATAGACTAGACTATAGACTAGACTATAGACTAGACTATAGAAGACTATAGACTAGACTATAGACTAGACTATAGACTAGACTATAGACTAGACTATAGACTAGACTATAGACTAGACTATAGACTAGACTATAGACTAGACTATAGACTAGACTATAGACTAGACTATAGACTAGACTATAGACTAGACTATAGACTTGACTATAGACTAGACTATAGACTAGACTATAGACTAGACTATAGACTAGACTATAGACTAGACTAGACTAACTATAGACTAGACTATAGACTAGACTATAGACTAGACTATAGACTAGACTATAGACTAGACTATATACTAGACTATAGACTAGACTATAGACTAGACTATAGACTAGACTATAGACTAGACTATAGACTACTATAGACTAGACTATAGACTAGACTATAGACTAGACTATAGACTAGACTATAGACTAGACTATAGACTAGACTATAGACTAGACTATAGACTAGACTATAGACTAGACTATAGACTAGACTATAGACTAGACTATAGACTAGACTATAGACTAGACTATAGACTAGACTATAGACTAGACTATAGACTAGACTATAGACTAGACTATAGACTAGACTATAGACTAGACTATAGACTAGACTATAGACTAGACTATAGACTAGACTATAGACTAGACTATAGACTAGACTATAGACTAGACTATAGACTAGACTATAGACTAGACTATAGACTAGACTATAGACTAGACTATAGACTAGACTATAGACTAGACTATAGACTAGACTATAGACTAGACTATAGACTAGACTATAGACTAGACTATAGACTAGACTATAGACTAGACTATAGACTAGACTATAGACTAGACTATAGACTAGACTATAGACTAGACTATAGACTAGACTATAGACTAGACTATAGACTAGACTATAGACTAGACTATAGACTAGACTATAGACTAGACTATAGACTAGACTATAGACTACTATAGACTAGACTATAGACTAGACTATAGACTAGACTATAGACTAGACTATAGACTAGACTATAGACTAGACTATAGACTAGACTATAGACTAGACTATAGACTAGACTATAGACTAGACTATAGACTAGACTATAGACTAGACTATAGACTAGACCATAGACTAGACTGTAGACTAGACTGTAGACTAGACTATAGGTTGGGCTATAGACTAGGCTATAGACTAGGCTATAGAATAGGCTATAGACTATAGACTAGGCTATAGAATAGGCTATAGACTAGGCTATAGACTAGACTATAGACTAGACTATAGAATCGACTATTTCTGAAGAAAACAATCTACAGTAGACAATAATAAAAAACAGACTAGAGAAGACAAGTTTCTAAAGAAAACTGTATCAAGAAGATTTTTCTAAAGAAGAAAATGTTGAGAAAGATATTTTGTAAAGAAAACTCTCTAAAGAATATAATTTTGTAGAGAAAAAACTGATTTGAGAAGATTTTTTTAAAGAAAATTCTATTAAGAACACAATATTGTAAACTGTTTTGACAAAAAATTTACTTTTTCCTCTAACTAATATGTAAACAAAACATTATTGTTCTCTTGAGTGCTTTTATTTAACTCAAATTGTACTCTTAAATATATTCATCACTAAACTTTTTTTCAATTTTAGTCATTCTTCCACTCTTTTGTGAAATAATATTTTAGAAATTATTCTCTATAATTTTTGCACTTTGTTTTTGTTTTGTGCTTTTGTCTCTCATTTCTAACAAAAAAACAACAATACAAATACCTACCGGCTTTTTTTGTTTGAGTGTTAAAAATAAAAACAAAAAGCATAATAAGAATTTATGAAAAAACTTGTTATTTTTTTGATTATTTTTTTAATAAATCTTTTATTTATT